TGTATAGTATGTACAGTGTGGATATTTACCAACTAAAACCCTCACAGTACATGAGCATTTTGACAACCAAGAATACACCATGACATCTCAGTCTGCCAGACAAAATGGAATACTCTCTTTCTTGACAACAAAAATTTTATAGAAGAGAAAAATGTCAGCAGGTCTCTACATAGAAGTAATGATGACATTACAATTAAAATTTTGGATTTACTCAATGATTAGTTTACAAGGAAACATAAAGAAACCACAGTGAGCACAGCATTCCAAAGTTCATTGCTGTGGGATGTTCTGTATGTCCTGTGGGAGCCCGTTCTTGGCTTCCTCATGGCTTTACCCAGCAGGTCCACATAGAGGATGATTAGGACCACAGGCCTGAGTGCAGGTGTCTGAGATGGTCTGCACTTGGCTGTGCTGTGGGATGGTCTGTATGTAAGGTTGCTCTGATTGGTCAATAAATAAAACACTGATTGGCCTGTGGCTAGGCAGGAAGTATAGGCGGGACTAACAGAGAGGAGAAATAAAAGAACAGGAAGGCAGAAGGAGTCACTGCCAGCCGCCACCCTGACAAGCAGCATGAAAAGATGCCAGTAAGCCATGAGCCACATGGCAGGGTATAGATTTGTAGAAATGGGTTAATTTAAGCTATAAGAACAGTTAGCAAGAAGCCTGCCACGGCCATACAGTTTGTAAGCAATATAAGTCTCTGTGTTTACTTGGTTGGGTCTGAGTGGCTGTGGGACTGGCGGGTGACAAAGATTTGTCCTGACTGTTGGCAAGGCAAGAAAACTCTAGCTACAGTTCATCATCAAATCTATACACCTAAATTTGAGGAATAGTGTATATTCTTGCCTAATATATCCTTATGGAGTATCTGGAAGGTGCACCTAGGGTAGGGGATCTCAGAATATCAATATCAACACAGCAGAGTGGTTCTCACAGCTGTAAGCCTCCTTCTGCCCTTCCACAGTCAAGCTAGAGAAATGAATTAACTCATATTGTCCAAACATGGCTTAACAATTGTATTAAAGAGGAACCTTCTCTGTCAGTTCTAACATATTCACTAGCTGTACTTTTAACTATATTATATCCTTTAGGTCATTTATAAAGTTCAGATGTGGAATGAATCTTTTCCACAATAAACACAAGTACTTTACCAGAAACACACATATAGGCCCCTGGGTAGAGCTGGAAACTGTCTTCTAGATGCTGTGGTACTAACAAAGAGCCCTTCCCTCATCCATCCTCTTCAATGCACAACTCCAGTTCAGGATACTGCTAGTACAAGTATTAACGAAGGCCACCACAGAAGATAGCTGTAAAAAATAGCAGGAAATTTATAGTGATTATTTTTGCTACTTCTAATATCCTTTGGGCACTGGGATTTATTCTTTAAAACCTAAGACATTAACTGAAATGCATGTCTAAACAATGGCTTGACAACCTGAACCAACCTACAGGTAGGGAGGTTTCTTCTGGACCCTATTTTTCACTTACCTGACCTCCACCATCTGCTAACAGTGTTTGCCAGTGGTTGTCAACCTGTGGCTTAAGAAATCTTTGGGGATCAAACATCCATTTCACAGGGGTCACCTAAGACATTTAGAAAACATAGATATTTATCTTACAATTTGTAACAGTAGATAATTGCAGTTATGAACTATCAATTAAAATAATTTTGTGGTTGGGGGTCACAACAATGTGAGGAACTATATGAAATGGCACAGCATGAGAAAGTTTGAGAATCACTGGTATATGCTCAATGACTAAGTTTAATAATTCCATTCCCTCAATGTGCCATTTCTATGAAATAACAAAACAATCCTTTAATGATGCTGATAGAATATTTTTTACTATGTTGTACATTTTTTACATTTATGAATTATTGGTGTATGCATGTGAGCACATGGATGTCACTGCACTTAGGGTGGAAGGTAAAAGATATTTTGAAAAAACACAGGAAAGAAACAAACAGAAAATATGAAACAAAATGAAAATAACCAATGAATTATAGGCACAAATGTGGTAGAAGAATCCCAAGAGAAGGGCTTCAACAAGATCATAGAAGAAAACTTTACCAAAATAAGCAGAAACACAAAAATATACAGGAATAACACAAAACAGAAAATATATAAGCTCAGAAAAGAAAATTCTCACCTCATATCATAATTTAAACTCTGATTATACATAATAAGTGAGTGTGTGGAAACTTGCAAGAGAAATAACATAAGTTATGTAAAAAGGAAAATCCATCAGAATAAGAGTTTATTTCTCAATGGAAACTTTGAAAACCAGCATAGTATAGAGCCATACATCCCAAGTCCTAAAAGGTATGATGGCTAACCTGAACTAATATACTAATCAAAAGTGTCCACCATAGTTGAAGGAGGAAGAAAGATATTCCACTAAATAGCTAAAGAAATTTAGATACAACAAACAACACCCAATGAAAATACAGGAAGAAACACTTTGGACAGAAGAGAAGAATGGGCATAGCAGATAGAAATAAGCAGCCATAAAATTTAAAACACAAGATACCACTGACAGCACAAATAACAACATGGTAATCACAATTAACACACATTTTAATATTAACTTTAAATATCAATGACATCAATTCTCCAATCAAAGGGTACAGGGTAACTGAACTGAACAAAATGCAAAATCCATCTATGGTTATCTACAAGAAATATATCTTAGTTTCAAAGGAAGTTATCACATTAGAGTAAAATGATGAATAAATATGCTCCAAACAAGTGGAATTAGGAAGCAAACAGAAATTACTAATCTGAATATCTTGAAAATAGACTACAAACTAAGACTAGTCATAAGAGATAAAGAGGGATACTTCATTCCAAGGGAACAGTTAACCAAGAAGACATTATTATCCTAAGTGTGTGTGTGTGTGTGTGTGTGTGTGTGTGTGTGTGTGTGTGTATGTAACAAACACTGGCAATCACAATTTCTTTAAAAATGTAGTACTAGTTTAAAGACAGGTTCAAAGAACAATAGTATTAGTTTCCCTAATCACATTACCTAGTCAGTCTCAAGTTCTTTGCTACCCAAGCAGTGTCAGGTAAGGATTCCATCTCATGGAGTGGGCCTTAAATTCAATCAGAAAGTGGTTGGTTATCCCCAAAATGTTTGTGCCACTGTTGTACCATTTTAAATTGTGGGATTTTAAGTTATGTCTCCTCTGGTAATATGCAGATTACCTTCCAATACCATGAGCACTATTCAATAGGGGTTAAGGCTCTGAATAAGTAACAGCTCTTCTTCTCCATGTTCAATGATATATACAAGGGTTGTCTTCAGCAATAGGACATTATCATCAACTTGTAGAAAGCAACCAATAGGTTTAACAATACTCTAAGATATTGGCAAGTTTCCATAGGGCCCCTTTGGCCAAGGTTCAACTAGGGCTGTCCATTCCTGGCACAAGATGTTTCAGTTGGTGATAAAAGACATCTTGTTGTGGCATTGTCTGCCCCATTATGGTGACTCCATTTAGATTCTGTTCACACATGTGTATATTTTAAGAAGCTTCTACAGTAGTAGGTTTCCATATGACCAAAGAGCCCTTAATGTTAGTTGTAGTTGTACCTCTTGTATTCCTTCTCTTACTCCTCTCTTCCAGACCCCTCTCCATTTTATCCCACAGCTCCAATATCTTCTCTGTCACTACATAACTTGATATAGAATTTTTCGTTCCTTGAAATGTCCTTTTTTCTCACTGTGGTTGCCTACTCTGTACTGAACCTCTGTAGTTATATGTATTATAATACCTCTTTAAAATGCTTAAAATCTAGCATAAGATAAAAAGTACAATATTTGTCTTTAGGGGTCTGCATTTCCTGAATCAGGTTGAGTTTTTCCAGATCTATCCATTTACCTGTGAATTTTATAATTTCATTTTTAACAGCTGAAATATATTCCATTGTATAAATATACCACATTATCTTTATCCATTCATCAGTTTATAGACCCCCTAGGCTTCTTTCAGTTTCTCTGACTATTATCAAAAAGGCACCAATGAACATAGATAAACAAATGTCTCTTTACTAGGATGTAGACAGATATATTTGCATATATACCCAAGAGTAGTGTAGCTGAATCTTCAAGGAGATCTATTCCCAGCTTAATGAAGAACTACTACATGGACTTCTGTAGTGGCTGTTCAAGTTTGTACTTTTACCAGCATGAGCTGTTATTTTTTTAATTGATATTGACCATTCTGACTGGTGTGAGATGAAGTCTCAAAGTAGTTTTGATTTACATTTCTCTGATGTCTAAGGACAGTGCACATTTCTTTAAATGTTTCTCAGTGCTGCTTCATCTTTTGAGAACTCTCTTTTAGTTCTGCACCAATTTTTTTAATTTGTTAGCTGATTTCTTTATGTTCAGATTTTTTAGTTTATTATGGATTTTAGATATGAACCCTCTATTGGATGTGTAATTGGTAAATAATTATCCCATCCTGTAAACTGCCATTTTGCTTGAATGATGATGTTCTTTGCTGTTCAAAGGATTTTTAGTTTCATTAGGTCCTATTTATTAATTGTTGGTCATAGCACCTGTACTATTGTCCTCTTCAAAATATTTTTTCATATCCCAAGGGGTTCAAGACAATTTCCCAATTTCTCTCCCATCAGATTTATGATATCAAGCCTTGTGTTGTGGTTCCTCATACATCTGGAGTTTAGTTTTTGCAGTAGGATAAATATAGATATATTTGCATTCTTCTACATACAGCCATTTAACTTGACCAACACCATTTTTTGAAATGTCTGTCTTTTCTCCAGTGTGTATTTTTAGCTACTTGTAAAAAGTCAGTTATCCGAGAGGCGGAGGAGAGGGAGGAGGAGAGGGAAGAGGAGAGAGGGAGACCGCGGGGTGCTGGCGCCCAGGATTTCCCTCCTCCACAAGTAACGCGTCCCGGTGGCAGGCTGTGCGGTCGTCGCTGCCTCCTCCTCCTCCTCCCGGCGCCCGGGCGGCGGCGGCGGCGGCGGCGGCGTGCGAGGCGGCCGGAGGTGGAGATGGGAGAGGGCCCCCGCGGGTGTCCGCCGGCCTCGGCTGGCCACCTTCTTCTCCCCTCCCGCAGCGACCCGGGCCCGAGCGCGGCCGGACGGCAGATATGATGATGGGCTGCATCCTCGGGGGAGACCTTGATCTGGAGGAGGTGGGAATGGGGGGTGGACTGGGGGGAAGGGGAGGGGGCGGCTATTATGTGGAAGTGAATGGTGTTGTAAAATTAAAAAAAAAATTAAAAAAAAAGTAAAGAAAACAAAAGTCCAGCCATTAAATACACACCGGAAAACCCTCCAGAGCCTGTAAGCACAAGTGCCAATCATTATGGAACAGAACACACCACAGTTGCCCCGACCTCTTCCACAAAGGGAGCACCGGTCAATTTTAACAGTCTTTCCATGACACCATTTGGAGGGTCCTCTGGGGTAACTCCTTTTGGAGGCACGTCTTCCTCGTTCTCAGTGGTGCCAAGTTCATATCCTACAAGTTTAACAGGTGGTGTCACTATATTTGTGGCCTTATACGATTATGAAGCTAGAACTACAGAAGACCTTTCCTTTAAGAAGGGTGAAAGATTTCAAATAATTAACAATACGGAAGGAGACTGGTGGGAAGCAAGATCAATTGCTACCGGAAAGAATGGTTATATCCCTAGCAATTATGTAGCACCTGCAGATTCCATTCAGGCAGAAGAATGGTATTTTGGCAAAATGGGGAGAAAAGATGCCGAAAGATTACTTCTGAATCCTGGGAATCAGCGAGGTATATTCTTAGTAAGAGAAAGTGAAACCACTAAAGGTGCTTATTCCCTCTCAATTCGTGATTGGGATGAGGTAAGGGGTGACAACGTGAAGCATTATAAAATTAGGAAACTTGACAATGGTGGATACTACATCACAACCAGAGCTCAGTTTGATACTCTGCAGAAACTGGTGAAGCACTACACAGAACATGCTGATGGTTTATGCCACAAGTTAACAACTGTGTGTCCAACTGTGAAACCCCAGACTCAAGGTCTAGCAAAAGATGCTTGGGAAATCCCTCGAGAATCGTTGCGACTAGAGGTTAAACTAGGTCAAGGATGCTTTGGTGAAGTGTGGATGGGAACATGGAATGGAACCACAAAAGTAGCAATCAAAACACTAAAGCCAGGTACAATGATGCCAGAATCTTTCCTTCAAGAAGCTCAGATAATGAAGAAATTAAGACATGATAAACTTGTTCCGCTGTATGCAGTTGTTTCTGAAGAGCCAATTTATATTGTCACTGAGTTTATGTCAAAAGGGAGCTTGTGAGATTTCCTTAAAGAAGGAGATGGAAAATATTTGAAGCTTCCACAGCTGGTTGATATGGCTGCTCAGATTGCTGATGGTATGGCGTATATTGAAAGAATGAACTACATTCACCGAGATCTCCGAGCTGCTAATATTCTTGTAGGAGAAAATCTTGTATGCAAAATAGCAGATTTTGGCTTAGCAAGATTAATTGAAGACAATGAATACACAGCAAGACAAGGTGCAAAATTTCCAATCAAGTGGACAGCTCCTGAGGCTGCACTGTATGGTCGGTTTACAATAAAGTCCGATGTGTGGTCATTTGGAATTCTACAGACAGAGGAGAGAGTGCCATATCCAGGTATGGTAAACCGTGAAGTTCTGGAACAAGTGGAACGAGGATACAGGATGCCTTGCCCTCAGGGCTGTCCAGAATCCCTCCATGAATTTATGAATCTTTGTTGGAAGAAGGACCCTGATGAGAGACCAACATTTGAATATATTCAGTCCTTCTTGGAAGACTACTTCACTGCTACAGAGCCACAGTACCAACCAGGAGAAAATTTATAATCCAAGTAGCTGTGTGCACAGATCTGCCAAAACACTTGTGTGAGTTCCTCATGCACAGGAATGAGAAGATACTCTTCACTCTGCATGTTTCTTGTGGTAAACTGGAATTCCAGATATGGTTGCACAAAACCACTTTTTCCCCCAAGTGTTAAACTCTAAAGTACCAATGACACATCTTACAACTTACTTCAGGGTCCAAAGAAAGCTAAGATATTGTGACTGTGGGTGATAGCATCGTAAGAAAGAGCAACAAGACTACTGTTTACTGGTCACTTTCTTTTCTTCCCAAAACTCAGAATTGCTAAAAGAAAACTATTTATTGATATGGACGAAACTTGGGCTGTTATACCGCTGTAAAATCTAAAATCAAAGAACTTCATGAGACCAAATAATTCCATTCCAGTTTTTAAAAATCTTGCATTTTTTTTCCTTAGAAGTTAGGTTTTTGTTTTGTTTTGTTTTTCTATTTAACAGTTGGCATGTAGTCTTAACACAGATCTCCTTTTGGGTGGAACGGGCCAAGTCTTCCAAAAGCAAAAAAATGGATTATAAACAGCATCAAAAACTTGATTAAGTGTTAGATCACAGCCATGGAATTTGGAAGCATAATACACTGTGTTCACATTTACTTCATAGAACTGGAAAGTAGAAAAACAGTTGTTTTTTTACTTCAGTCATTTCTTGAATTGTTCAGCTTAGAATAATAAGATAACCAGAAAGTGAGTTAATCTTTTGTAAGGTTGTATTGATTTTTTAAAGACAATGTACAATTGAAATTATACTATCCAGTCCAAGGGAAAAATCTTTTAATATTTGCATAGCATGAAAAATAAAAACCCATCATTTAAGCAGTCCATTTTTAAGAAATAGATGGTATACTATGAGGTGTTGCTAGTATGTTTTTATGGTGATGGGCTCCACAATAGAAAACATCACTAGATCAGGGACTTGAATGCACTTTGCTTGTATTGAGTATAGAATAGGAGAGAGGAAAATGTATTTAAATAAATATGAGAGAAGAAAATGGGAAAGTTTTACAGGTATTGGGACAGGATGGAATGTTGAATGTTGGTGTTGTGGAGTGACAACATGGCTCTTCTGGCACTCAGAGCTGATTAGCTACTTTTAGACTTTAAAAGCTGTAAAGTATGACTGTAAAACTCATTTTCTTAACATATACACTAAATCAGTTCTACATCCTCAAAATAGTGAAGATAAGGCTTAACACTAATTTCAGTGGCCCATTTTTATACAGAACCTTTTTAGAACTCCAATTTTCAAATCTCTGAAATTTCACTTACATTTCAGATATACTTGATGATTATCGTATTTTTCTTTCATAATATAATTAATTTGAGGGAGAATACTTACTCTAAGTAACAGTAATTTAAAGAGGGAAATTTTTGCCCACTCAAAGTGCAGAAGTAAAACATTCAAAATGAGAGCTTTTCTAACTCAGATATTATGAAATATTAATTTGAATTGAGTAGTGTTAATGGTTTAAGGGTCTAGCAAGGAAAAACTGTCTGCTAAATAAAATAAAAGTATAATATTTATGTTTTTAAATGCTGTATTTTATAGTTCCACTTTAAAATGTTATATCAAGTTTTCTTATTTTCAGCATATAATTTTAAACTACCATCATTTTAATCACGAAATTTAAAGATCTGTGCCATGGTAAAGTATGTTCAAATTTAAACCTTTTTAAATGTGACAAGTGAACTTCATGCAAGTTGGCAAAAGTTCTGGTACTAAAAGTTGTGTTTGTTTTCTTTTTACTTAACCTATTCAGTACTGAATCCTTTGCCAAGAGGGTCTCCTGATAAGAATGTCGTCCTTATTCACCCTGATGTCTACAGTTTGTGACATGAGTGTTTTAAAGGGCTTCATGTGAACTATGGTATTGTAGTTTTCCTAAGGATTCTTTAAAGAGTAATAAAATTACGTTTATGTACTAATTCTGATCAGAAAAAATAAGGCAGGAAAAGTTGATGGAATTCTTTAGATTTTAAATAAACTGGATGAAGCAGTTCTTATACTAACACTTGTATAGTAAGGACACAACACTAACTTAATGTGTATTCAGTTTAATATGTTATGTATTTTTGAATTGTCAAGAAAAACAGTTTTGTACATTTGAAGATTTTTTTTCCAACAGTTTCATCTTTATTGTCTTAACTTGGAACTTTAACCCTTACCAAAAAAGAAAAGTTGGCAAAAGCAGCCTTCTAGCACACTTTTTTAAAATAAATAATGGTAACCTAAAACTTAATATTTTTATAAAATGTTGAAATATTGTTTTGTGGATAGTTAAAATAAAATTCTTTGTTGAATGCAAAAAAAGTCAGTTATCCATAGGTCATAGGTTTAGATCTTCAATGAGAAGATATTGATCAACATTTCTGCTTTTGTGTGAATATCATGTTATTTTTAATTACTATAGCTCTGTTCTACAACTTAAATTGTGTTTGAGTGAATTATTCTGTAAATATCACGAGATCTTTTTCATTTATGATGTTATTGAAATTCTAAATTTCTCTATTTAGTTTCTATTGGCTAGAGTGGGGTATTGAATCATCCAATATCACTGTGTAAGGGTTAGCATGTGATTTTAGCTATAGTAGTAGTCGTGTTTAATTTATGAATTTGTATATCCTTGTGTTTGATGCATAAATGTTTAGGACTCTAATATACTTTTGGTGAATTTTGTAATTAGTATGCAGTGTGCTATATCTCTTCTGATTAGTTTTGGTTTGAAGTCTATTCTGCCATGTGGTGATATTTTATTTGTGCTTTAATAAAGTTTACCTGGAGATCAGAAGAAATAGCAAGCATTTTAAGTAAACAAAGTAGTCAGGCAGTGGTAGCACATGCTCTTAATCCTACCATTTAGCAGTCAGGATCTCTGTGTGTTCAAGGCCACACTAGGGAACAGAGCCAAGTGTGGTGACATATGACTTTAATCCCAGTACCAACCATAGAGGTCTGGTGGTCTGTACAGACAGACAGAAAGTGACAGAGCTATGTAGGAAGAGGAAGTGATGTGACTGAGCTAAGAGAGCCAATGAGATAACAGAACAGAAAAGGCATATAAATGTGGGTAGACAGGAAGTAACTTGCTTTTGGAAGCTGCAGAGTTGGTAAGGTAAGGTTGGCTGGTGGCTTTCTCTATTTCTCTGATCTCTCTAAGGCTTTCATCCCTATATTTGGCTCCATGTTTTTTATTTAATAAGACCATTTTAGAAATTCATCTACAACTGGTGTCCAATGAACATGGCAAGAACTCATTAAAAACCCGCTTGTGGGCTTATAGAGCCCCTGGCTCAGGCCAGTTGTACAGCTCAGCCTGGAGCATGTGGCCAGAGTCTCTTTGGCTTTCTTTCTCCTGGTGGGAGGTGGGCTCTGTCTCTGGATTTCCTTCTCAGACTGCCAACATACTAGGTAGCTGTTTGAAATTCCTTTGGACTTCTACTGTTCTATGCAGTCAACAGACTTGGGAAGTCAATTAAGATATTTTAAAGGGTAAAATTAAAAGAGAAATTTTCCCACATTAAAAAATGGGAAACATTTTTACAAGAGGAGTTTGGTCTGTTTGATAACAAATTAGGCAGTCTGAAAATGGAACAATTAAATGAGAGGATAATTAAAGTTGATGGGATGTATGTAACATCAATTATGAATATTATTTGCTTGATCATCTTTATTTTAACATTAAAAAGGTTAGTCAATTTATGTGCCAAGATAAAAGCTTTAGACAAACCTGTTAAAATGAATCATAGAGAAATTCAGATCCATTCAGGAAAATTTAAAGGTGAACCTAACTCAGGATTAATGTTGAAAAACCTGTTAAAATTAATCATATAGAAATTCAGACTCAGACAGAAGAATTTAAAGGTAAAACTATATGGTTACAGAGAGACAGCCTGTTTTCAAATAACCAAACTTAATCTAGATGGTAACCTTAAAGGAACTACCTGCTCTAGGGTATATACAAGCTAATTGGACTCCAGTGGAAATGTTGGATTTAAGGAGATTTAAAGAAGCTATAGTATCATATGGCATGCATTCTTCATTTGTAAAGCAGATGTTTAACTTCTGGTCAACTTGCAATAAAATTGGGGAGAGGTGTGGATGTAGGGTGGCTTGTGAAAGAGGGCTGGGGGTGGGAGGAGGGAGGAGGGAGGATCTGTGAGTGGTATGTAGAATGAGTAGAAAATTTCATAATAAAGAAAAATTTAAAAAAAAAGAATTGTCCCTCAGTACTGGAAAGAAATAATTACAACAGTCCTAGAGGCTAGAGCACAATTACAATGGAGAACTTGATATAAAGAGGAAGCTAAAACAATTGAATAACAATGTAGGACTAGAGGTGTAGAAGTTTCCCAAGATCAGTTTCTTGGAGAAGGCAGTTATGCTGATATACAAAGACAATGTTTATATGATAACCAAATCTTAACTCTATGCCACATGGCAGCCATGAATGCATGGGACAGAATTGAGGAAAAAGGAAAGAAAATTGAATCATTTATGAAAGTTATACAAGGCCCAAAAGAATCCTTCATGGATTTCTTACAAAGGCTGTCTTCATCAGTAAATAGAATGATAACAAATTCAGAAGCTAGACAGATAATAATCAAATCTTTGGCTTTTAAGAATGTGAATGTGGCAGGAAAAGGAATAATCAGGCCATTAAAGGCCAGATCAGCACCCCTGGAGGATTGGATCAGGGACACGATTAATATTTAGTCTCATGACCATGATATGTGGATAAAAGAGGTGATTTCAAAAGCTTTGAGGAAAAATAATGTGAGGAAAAACAAGGTCATTTGAAAAGAGAGTGTAAACGGAGCACCACTAGAAACAATGTTTATTCAAGCAACAATGGCAACTCCCTTCTGAATTATGCAGAAGATGTGGTAAGGGTAAACATTAGACAAACAAGTGTAGATCAACAAGGGACAGACAAGGTAATACTTAGCACCTGCTATGGGAAACTTCCAGAGGGGCCTCATGCAGGCCTCCATGGCAAATTCAGTTCAAATTTTTCCTGCCATCATAGAAGAAACCACTTCTCTGAGCAATTAAATAATCAAATGCCTATTGGAATAAATCAGGCTACTTGGGGTGATAGGACAGCAATAGCAGAGAGAACAGGAAATTCATGAGAAAATATAAAGATAATTTTTTGAAAACTTTTATAAATGAACAAAGACCAAAATTAAAAATAAGAATAAACGACATTCTCTTGGAAGGTTTGGTTGACACAGGTACAGATGTTACAATAATTGCACCAGAATTTTAGCATCCAAATTGACCTCTTCTGGAAGTAAATGTTCAGCTGTTATGATTGGAACATTATCTCAAATGAAACAGAGCACAAGACAGCTTGATTGTATAGGACCAGAAGGACAGAGAGGAAAATTAAAGCCATATATGGCTAATATAGCTTTGAATTTAGGGGGCCATAATGTATTACAACAGTGAAATACTCAGATTAACATTCCTCCAACCTCTGAAACAAACCATAAACTAA